GGAGGCACATATTTAATATAGATTAAACTCAAATTATTCTTTTATCAATGTTAACATAATTATTTAATTCAGATGCCAATCTTTTGATGGGGGAATTGGTGGTGAACCAGGCCTCGAAGCGCATGGCGGATACGCGTTTTGTGGTCTTGCTGCGATGGAGATACTTGGTAAAACTGATTTGTTAGACATTCCATCGCTTTTTGTAGGTGGTTCACAGTATTCGTATGTTATATTTTATAATAAATCTTGAATTTACTAATTTTGGTTCATTATTTAGCGTTGGGCTTCTTCTCTTCAAATGAAACTTGAAGGTGGTTTCCAAGGTCGACCAAATAAATTAGTAGATGGTTGTTATTCGTTTTGGGTTGGTGCTTTATTCCCTGTTTTGGAAGCTATTATGACACGGCAGCAGCTAAAAAAAAATGATGCAAATTGTAAAGAGCTTGATGAATATATTGGTATGTATACTAAATCGATTATTGGGATATATAAAATAATTATATACTTTGTAAATAGTGTTTTAACGTATCTTTATTTTACATTGGTCAGCTCAACCTTTATTCGATAGAGGTATTTGCTTATTTTTTTACAATTAAAACGCTTATGTACTAAAATATTTAAAATTTTATAGAAGCACTTCAAGAATATCTTTTGATTGCTTGTCAATATCACAAGGGTGGGCTAATTGATAAGCCAAAACGGAGTCCGGACTATTATCATACTTGTTATTGTTTAAGCGGTCTATCGACCTCACAACATCATGTAATTTATGATTTTGAAAAAGCTACATCCTTAAATATAGAACATGGTGAGCTTAATGCCGGTGATAGATCTTTGCTGTGGTTCGAAGATGAAACAAAAATTTTAGTTTTGGGTGACCCTAGTAATATTGTGGTACGTTGACAATACACATTTACATCAATTTTATAATCGTTGATTTATGTTCATTGAAGTTATAATTTTTATCATATTTCCTAGAATGCTACGCATCCTATCCATAATGTAACTATGCCAAAAGTTAAAAAAATGATTGAATATTTTCGTGAAAAGCCTTTTAGTTCTTAAACAATCTAAGCGACTATCTTTCCGTTAAGGAATTTAATTTATATCATTAAAAGCTTGTACCTAGTTATTCTGATAAATTCTAAACATTTGTTAGTCATCCAGTAAATTGGCTTTTTTAATTAATTTGCTTTTTTGTCATGTAAGCCATATACTCGATAAATGAACTTTATTAATGTCTGATACATTTTAATTCATAAGATAAAAGAAAAAAACATTTACATTTTTTTTTTTTTTGTATACAGTATACAATATAAATATATTTTTATCCGGAGGACTCATTGTCTATGTGAAGCGATACAAAAATTATGTCATTTTTGATACATTTTGTAACAGATAAATAAAATGTACGAACAATGGCGTTATGGTCGTTTTTTTTGAACACCAATCCAATACTATCAACACTAATTCAATTTCTAATTTAAAATTGGTGATTTGAACCGAAAAATTTCTTTAATCGGTTAACCGAACCGAATTATTTTATTCAATCTGTTTGAGATTAACTATCTACTTTTCAAATTTTTGTCTCGTCTTTTATGCTCATTCATTTTATTTCGGAACTTTTCGGAAATTTTGCTCCCTCCTTATATCACTTTCGATCCTGCCAACCGAATGTACCCAGGGTCAACCAATCATGAATTTCCTCAACCGGTTAACCGAAACTTATTTGGTTCGGGTCGATTAACTGATTATAGGTCAACCGATTCAAGTCACTATTTAAAATACAATAAAAAAATTTATCCTTGTACGTACCTCCTTGGCAGCGTTCATACAATTTGGTCACGCGTGTCGTAGCATTTTAGTTTGACAAAAACATGCACACTCACGCGTTTGTGTAATATGATGATCATTCAGTCAGCCATACAGTAGTGATCCAAATCGACTAAAATTTTTAGTTGCAGTCGACTAATTTTATGACTAGTCGACTAGTCGTATAATATATAAAGTAAATATGGGGTCTTTGCCTTGAAAATCACCCTCCGACATTTCCGATCAGGCTAATTCGGACGAAATCAAACCTGTGTATTAATTCA